GCAGCGTCCTCCTGGCTGCAGCTCTGGTCTAGGCTGCAGCAAGCGTGTGTGGAGCCTGCGCAGAGCGGGTCCAGGGCGGCCTGACAGCCGAGCTGTGTGCAAGGCGGCGGGAGATGCAGGGGAGGTGGGAAGCACGCACACTCACCCGGAAACCGGGGATGGTGGAGTTGGTTGGCCATTGGTCAGGTGTAGGGGACGTGCATAAGTGGGAGGGATAAGAGGAGTGACGTGACGGAAGCTGGGAAGTCGCGTTAATGAGGCCCGGCAAGTTGGAAAGATGAGCAGCCGCTGGCAGTGCCGAGTGCCGGGTTCCCTGTCATTGCTCGGGGTCCTGCACGGTGGGACCCGCGCGCTGCAGACCCGGGTGCGGAGGACCCGGTTGGGGACTCGGGGACCTGAGACCTCGGGATCCGCGGGGAAAGTCAGCAGTCAGCAGCGCAGTGGCGGGAACCGCAGCCCGGCGGCCCTGGAAGCTCCCAGGTCAGAGGAGCTGCGGGGCTGGGACCCGGGAGGGAGGAGCGGGGGTGCGAGCGGTTTCTCTGTTGTCCATCAGGAAGCCGGCCCCGAGATATTGCTGTGGATGTCTTTCCTTTGTCGATAAATTTTAGATAATATGAACTGGACCAATCCTGATGTTTTCTTTTTGTTTTGTTTTTGTTGTTTCTTTTTTCTTATTGATCTTCTGATTGCCAAGTATTCGCATAAAAATAACCTACTAGAATATTTGAATTTATGTGTTGATGTTCGCAAGCACGGTTCTCTTTGCTATGATGATAAGAACAAAGCTCTTGAAATGTGCATAGTCCCTGCTAACTTCTGTATTATACCCAGGACTTAGCATGCAGGGAGAATGTTCAGATATTACTCATGAGAAGTGTAAGGGTTCTTTCTTCTTTCTTTCTTTCTTTCTTTCTTTCTTCTTGTGAGCTAGAACATCTTTGCAGTCAAGTGTGATGGAATACAAGAAAGGCACCACCATTCAGCAAACCTCATGCAACATGTTTTTGGGGGAAAACCACAAAATGGTAGCTACTCTGAAAGGGAAGAGAGACAGAAGGTTAGGCTCAGGGTCAGGCTTTTAGTGGAAAAGCCCAGTGGGGTCTGAAGTTCTGCTTACTGCTGAAGCTTACTGTATGACTGTGGGGCCCGGTTCCCAGGTTGTCAGCCCCTTGAGGCACAGGAGTGCCTAGGCACTGCCCCACCCCCATCCCATCCCCCATAATCCTCTAAGGCTCATAATTGCCATTTCTATCCCTTGAGGCAGGGGAGTATCCACGTCCTGCCTTATAAGGGAAAGAAAAAAAAAAAAAAAAGCCTAATATCTGGTCACTGAGCTTGCCCCAAGAGCAGGCCCACAAAATCTCTCCAATCCCAGGCTGCCATGGAAAGCTCTGTCCCCCCCTCACCCTCTCCCAAATGACTGTATCAAGTCAGCTTCCTGCTCAGTTGTTTGCTCAGTTCTCAGAGTACAGGAGTACAGCCTGTGCTTCCCTCCCAATAAATGTCCTCTGTGAGTTTTGTTTTTCAGTCTGACTTTGTGCTATCCCTTGGCTCCCGACTGCCAGGATACCTTTTCCCTTGACGGACTAAAAATTAAAATTAATAAAAGTTTAAAAACTTGGGCCGTAAATCTATACAGAGAAAGGGAACTTATTATGGTAAAGGAAAATTTAACTCCTTAAATCAGGAGTGCCATGGCTGGCGCCTGAACTCCCACCCCACCCCCGCAGAGAAGGGGAGGTGACTGTCCACTCTTGTTAGCATTCCTTTGCTAATTGCTGATTGTCAAGGTCACAAGCCAGTTGTAAAGATCCCTCAGCCCAGGGGATCACTGACAGACCCTGTGACCCTGTAACCCTGCAAACCCATGCCCTGTCTTATCTCACTCAAATGTATTTCACTAAAAATATATAGTTACTGCTTTACTCTGTACTTTGTATGACCTTAAGTAACCACGGAAACTCTGAAATCTGTGGCCTTCAACCTTATTATGTCTGCCCCTTTAAAAGGTTCTCTTTTTGGCTGGTTGGCATCTCATTTGCCTACCATGCAGTGAGATCCTAGCTGGCCAGCTTGTAATAAAAAGAAACCTTTTGCTTTTGCATCAGAGTGTCGACTCCCTGGGTTTGTCCCTGGGCTCCTCGAACCTGGCACAACCCCCTCAGAGCTGCAAGGCCTCCCATCTCTGTTGTAACACTTACACCAGTCTCAGGGTTCTAGGGCAGAACAGAGGCAGAGTCTTTTTTTTCCCACTGGCCTCTTTGACCTACAGGAATGCCTGCAGATTGAACTGAATCTGAAAATAGAGTTTTAAGAGTTCCACGGGTATGGTTGTAAACATTAACATTTAAAAGTAAACTTTTTTTTAAAATCCACCATTCATTTTTCCAACTGAGATATAAGCACTCTGTGATGTAAATACAGCATTCTGAAAAGTGTCTTTGCCAGGTTTGGTGGCACAGGCCTTTAATAACACCACTCGGGAGACAGAGGCAGGTGGATTTCAGTAAATTGGAGGTCAGCCTGGTCTACATAGTTAGTTCCAGTACATCCAGAGCTATGTGGTGAGACCCTGTCTCCAAAAAAGAAAGAAAGAAAGAAAGAAAGAAAGAAAGAAAGAAAGAAAGAAAGAAAGGAAGGAAGGAAGGAAGGAAGGAAGGAAGGAAGGAAGGAAGGAAGAAAGGTGGTTTCTTGCTCTGAGTTCTTAATGTTGCAGTTTAGAGGCTAGAAAGCCACAGTATGCTGTTTGGAGGTATTAGGTTACAGTGTATTCACAGTTAGAAAGGGTGTTGTTATGAACCTGGTGGTGGTGGCCACACAAGTCCTTAATCCCAACACTACAGAGGGTAGACCTTGGAATTCCTTGCCATCCTCATCTACAAAGTGAGTTTAAGAACAGTCTGGGCTACATAGAGGAACCCTATCTGGGGGTGGGGGGAAGGAAGGAATGAAAAGGTATTTTAATATAGTATAATAAAGAAAGCATCTTTTTGTTTTGTTTTGTTTTTTTCGAGACAAGGTTTCTCTGTGGCTTTGGAGGCTGACCTGGAACTAGCTCTTATAGACCTGGCTGGTCTCGAACTCACAGAGATCCACCTGCCTCCGCCTCCCGAGTGCTGGGGGATTAAAGGCGTGTGCCACCACTGCTGGGCTAAAGAAAGCATCTTTTGAATAAATATGATCATTCATCTACATCAGAAAAATGCCTGCAATAGTCATTCATCTCCTTACTTCCTTCCGTTATCTTTGTTTGAGGTGTGAACTCACTGTGTTGCTCTGTCTGGCCATGTGGACCAAGCTGGACTGGAACTAACAAGGTCCACCCACATCTGTCTCCCCAGTGCTAGGATTAAAGGTGTGCACCAACACAACTCTTCAAACTGGTGTTTTCATTTGTGGTCTGTTGACAGCCGGTGGTGTGACTGTGGACTTCTCCCAGGAGGAGGGGCGTTGGATGGACCCTGCTCAGAGACTGGATGTTGCAGAATTCCAGCAGTCTGATTTCTGGGTGAGAATATTTGCTTGCAGTCTCCCTTGCTCCTCCTTAGGGTTTCTTGGCAAATTACTCTGCAAGCGTGTATCCCTTTGGGAGACCCATCCTATGTGGTCTGTGATAAACTCACTAACTCATTTTTGTATGATGTTGTCAATTTGTCATCCCAATCATTCAGTTCCATTTCTGCTCCTGAGTTTTAACCAAGCTGTGATTGAGATTGGGATTCAAGTCCCACTTGCTGAAAATGCTTCCTAAATGTTTTCAGTATCCTGACCCTGCGTGGCCAGTAGGGAATCATTTGTAGATTCCTCTCTTCATCCACTGAGCACAGTACTGTGTGAGAAATCCAGGGGCTTCCTGAACAATCTCTTTCTCACGTGCAGGGCTCACTGATCACCCCGACCTGCTCACCTGTGCAGCAAAAAGTCCTGAAAGGTAGAGAGAGAGGAGAGAGCAGCCAAGGATCCAGGTATGGTGGAGGGATTGGTGAAGGGGTGGCAAGGGGTTCAAGTAAATGTGGAAGTGGAACATGAAATCATTTTTGCCACATTCTGTTTCACTGGAAATAACTCTGGAGACTTCCACTGAGAAAGATGTCTCACGGTTATCCTGTTGTAGGTGTGAGAACAGTCTCCACAGAAGAATTGATAATGGAGACAAGTATGATTTCAAATGACTAAGCATTCGAGTGGTGCTGTCCTTATTCATTCACGCCACTGAACATGTCTTTGTACTGTTATTAAATGATTTTTATTTCTATGAGTTTAATGTGTTACGGAATGATGAAAATTAATACAGAACCGTTATGGGATCAGCAAGAAACCTGGCACTGGGGAAATTCCCAGGAAAACGCAAGGATGAGCTGAGATAAAAACTCTAAGCAATGGTGGAGAGGGTGCCTGAGCTGGCCTTCCCCTGTCATCAGTTTCATCACCATCCAGTAACTGATGGAAGCAGATGCAAAGATCCACAACTAACCTCTAGGCCAACCTTCCAGACTCTAGTTGAGGAGAGGGAGGAGCGATAATATGAGCAAAGGGATCAAGACTGATGAGGAGACCCACAGAAACAGCTGACCTGAGCTAGTAGGAGCTCACTGACTTCAGACTGACAGCTGGGAAAACTGCATAGGACATAGGACTGAACTAGGCCCCCTGCAGGCCAGTGACAGTGGATGACTTTTGTACTTTGTGGGGCTGTGGGCAGTGGGACCAGGATCTATCCCTAGTTCATGAACTGACATTTTGGAGCCCATTTCCTATGGAGAGATACCTTGCTCAGCGTAGACACAGGGAGGAGGGCCTTGGTCCTGCCTCAACGTGGTGACAGGACAGACTTCATTGACTCCCTATGGGAGGCCTTACCCTCTCTGAGGAGCAGAATAGCCCTACCCCTGGAACAATAAAATGAGCTGTCTCTCTGAAAAACAAAAAGAAAGAAAATTAATACCTCTAGGTTTATTTATTGTTTTCAGAATTTTGGAGCTTTGATATTGTAGCACATTCTTACCTTTTAGTGTTTATTTCTCCATTCCTGAAAATAATGCCAACAGAGTTTTGATAAGAATCCGAAAGTATATTTACAGACTGTTAAATCCGTCTGTACTGTCTGCCCATGGATACCTCCAATGTGGTCATGACAATTCCAAGTGGTTTCCATTGCTGTCACTGTAACAGACTGTGAGATCACCTCCAGGTTTGATCCTCTTAGTATTTTCTGGTTTTTGCTGTTCCCTGGTACTTTCAGGATTACTTTCTGTAAAATGCACAAATAGGATTGTAATGGGAATTGCTTGGAGTCTTAGAGAAGACAGACCTCCTTCTAGGTTGTCTTCTTGTGTTTGAAAGGAACATGAGGCAGTGTGCCAGTTTTCACGTTTTATGTATTCTTCTGTTTTCTGTCTGCTGTGGATGTCTGCATTCCAGGTTTTGTGACATGCGCCCGTGTTGATCCACTTTTTGTCATTTGCTAATACTGTTTATTTTGTATTTTGATACTTTCATCTTGAGTTTTCTGTCACTAATAACGATCATCTGTTGTTTAACAGCTGTACATAATCATGGCATTTTTTTTTTAAAAAACAACTTTCTCAGTATTTTGTATCTTTAGATATGAAATGAATTTTTCAGTAGAAAATATGGTTTTTTTAGCTGTCTTTTTTTAAAAGATTTTATTTATTTATTATGTATACAACATTCTGCTTCCATTTATATCTGCACACCAGTACCAGGCACCAGGTCTTATAACAGATGGTTGTGAGCCACCATGTGGTTGCTGGGAATTGAACTCAGGACCTTTGGAAGAGCAGTCTGTGCTCTTAACCTCTGAACCATCTCTCCAGCCCCTTAGCTGTCTTTTTTTGAATGTTGTAGTCTGTTGATATCAGGCCATTATCTTATGAGCTACACTATAGCGCTTTTTTTTCCCATTCATTTATTTAGTTCATAAATAAAGTCATGCACAATTATGATACAGAATACAGTATGTTCACAATGGCATGGCTGAATTAATCTAGTTAACATGTTTTATCATACATATTTATCATTTTTGTTTTGAGAACACTTAAAGTATACTATCTCACAACTTTTAAAATATAGCATATACACTGTAGCGCTTTTTAATATGTACATATTGGCTATTTCGACTGCTATTACCATGGTTTGTTAACTCATTTGCTTATTTATTGATTGTGTTCTCATTTGCTTCCTTTGTAAATTTTGGTAGGTTATGGGTTTTTATTAATTGTAGTATAGATAGATAGCTAATAAACATATATGCTGCGTAGGCTTTCTCATCATACTTTTAATTACCAATTCCCTGGATGTTTTTAATTTTACATAGAACTATTTGTTGGCTCCTGTTCTTTGTGTTGCTCTGCAGGATTCACGTTTTTAGATCATACATGTAGGTCTGTGATTGATTGTGTGGTAGGGGAGAATTGAGCCCAGGTTCATGTTTTTATATGTGGTCTGCATACTTTTCCCGGTGCCTCTGTTGAAGAGGCTGTCGAGTCTGTAAACACAAGATCATGGTATTTTGGTGTCATTCCTATAGTCATTGCTGGGTCTGCTGCTCTCTGCATTAGGCTGTTGGTCTGTCTTCTTCCACTGGTTGTGTGGATCTGCAGTGTCATCTGGAATCACATGAGGATAACTTGAGCTTTGTAACATTTCATATTTATATATTTATGTTTTATGTATATGAGTGCTTTTGCTTGCAGGTATGACTGTACAGCGTCATGCTAGAACTGTGGTTTTAGACAATTGGGAGCCACAGCATGGGTTCTAGAAATGGAAACTGGATCTATACAAGAATAACTGGTGCTCACAACCGTGAGCCGTCACTCCAGCGCCCTATTAAATATAACAGAAAATGGTATAGAACCATTCTAGTCATTTTTTTTTTTTATGTAGAGGACCCAAAAACTTCCTCTTACATAGGCATTTATTATTTCTTAAAAACTTCTTAAATTGTTATTGTATGTTTGTGTGTGTTCCTAAACATAAAAATACCAACTACACAGTCCGTATGTTTTTAGGGATGGACATTTGGCATTGGATAACCATACAGTACACTCTTCTCTGGGGAAGACTATTTCTCCAGCTCTAAGAATTCCTTAGTGTTTGACCAGGGTTGAGGCCTAGTGAGCTTTCTTCCTTCCATGTTAGCGTGTCTCTTTGTGTTCAGCTCTTTGTTCAGCTCATGGTTAGGCAGCCATTTTATAAGATTTCATGCATGTAGCTTCTGTGACATTTCTAGGAGACACATTCTGAGCAAATAATCCTGTTCCTCTGGCTCTTAAATTGCTCCCTCCTCTTTTTCTCAGTGATCCCTGAGCCTGAGGTGAAGGGTTGTGGTGTTTATGTGTTGGTGGGGACTGAGCATCCAAGTCTGCATTTTGACTGATTGGTTTTCTGTAATAATATCCATGTGTTGCAAAAAACTTTCCATGATGAGGGATGAGGACTACATTTATCTGTGGGAATAAGGATAAATATTTAGAATGCTCTTAGGGATTATACTTATTTAGTAAATTAGTGGCTATGGGTTTTCTTACAAGATGCTTGACTTCACTAGCCCTAGAGAAACTGGCTTGGTTTCTTTTTATGTGGCTTGACATTTTTTCTTAACACGTTTCAGTATTAATTTTTGCTCTTTCTTTTTGACCCCTTAATATGAAAGGCCAGCAAGCCATCTATGTATTCATTGTTCCTGAAAGACAAACTCAAAGAAGATCAACAGAAAGAAATGGCTGATTCTCCAGTTAATCTGTCCCAGGTCAGTGGTCCTGTCCACTCTTTTTCTACAGATATTATAGTTTGAGATATTGCACACCCTAATTTTCTGCTTCTGATAATTTTGGAATTTTGTTATACAAGGTGTTGCAAACAAACAACAAAGAAATCACTCACTGAAATTAATCAGACCCAAAGACTATACAACACAACGTCCTTTTATGCAGTTAGAGTAGTCGTTGAGAACAGAAGCTCTGCAGTCTCACATGAGATTTTATTTTTTCACAATCAAATATACTTTTATGAGCTTGTCCACCACAGAGAAGATAAAAACCAGTGACAGAATTAGAACTAGAAAAGCAATTCCCTTTATATACTTTTTCATAACTGGTGTTATTATCTGCATTCAGTCCTGCCTCAAACCTTTCTTATTCTCTGTTCTCAATGTTCTGATGCATGCACATGTACGTGGTTTCCATAAATATCTATTATTGACTAGATTCTGCATGTGAGGGAAAATGTGATTTCTTCCTTTCTGACTCTGTATGACCTCACTTACTATTACACAATCTAAGTCCAACCATTCTTCTGCAAATTTTCATTACATTTTTCTCTTCAGCTGAATAGTATTCCATTTGATATATGTACCATTTTCATTATTCAATCATCTGTTGATAGACAATCAGTTTGATTCCAGTACTTTCCTAAAGTTAAAAAAGCATCAGCAAATACAGGTTGTAAATTGATTTATAGTGGTGTGTGGAGTTCTGAGTATATGCCCAGGAAATAGCCGAGTTAGACAAAAATAACATCTTTAATTTTTTTAAATGATCTCCACACTGGTTTCCACAATGGCTGTATTAATTTGTACCTCCACCCTCACACACACCCACATATACCAACAGTTAATGAGGGATCCTTTGTAGAGATATCCTCTCTAACATTTCTTGTCAGGTTGGTTGTTGACAGTCATGCTGCCTCACTTAACGCAGCATTTCAAAGTAGTTTTAGGTGGCATTTCCATGATGGCATTTTAGTATATTTATCCGTCATTTCTGTTTTTGTCTTTGAAAAGTTTCAATTCCATTCATTTTCCCATTTGTTGGTTGCTATTTCTGTTTCCTTGGTATATAGTTTCTATAATTCTTGGTGAATACTAGCTGTGAGCCCCTATCCAAAGTGCCACTGGTACAGATTCTCTCCCATTCTGTGGGTGTCTATGTGCCCTGCTGACTGTTTCCTTTGATAAACAGAAACTTTATTTTCATGTAGTACTAACTGTTGATACTTGGGTTAGCTTCTGTGCTGTTGGTGTTCTTTCTAATCAGTAAGTTCTTGCCCATCCCAATGTCCTCATGGGTATTCCCTATGTTTTCTAGGTTTCTGTGTTTCTGGTTTAATTCAGGTTTTTGATCCATTTTGAGAGGATTTTTTATACAAAATGAAAGGTAAGAATCTGATTTCATTCTCCTACTGGACCAGTTTTGCCAGCACCATTTGTTGAAAAGGCTATAATTTTATCATCTCTTTTTGCCTCCTTTATTAAATATTAAGTACAGCTTTCTGTTTTTCTTTCTGGGACCTCTGTCCTATTCTGTTATTCTTCTATTTGTATAACCGTACTAGGCTGTCTTTATAATTGAAAGTATACAATTCTGTAATTCCACACATCTTCTAACACTTTCCATAATTCTCCCCTACCACCAGTTTTTTTCTTTTTTTTCTTCTTTTTTTTATTTGATGGCAAATATTCTGCGTGGACTTATGACCTGTAACTTTGAAAATATTTCCACTGTCACATATGAACTAAAAACATATGTTGGCGCCCCGTTGCTATAGTGAATGTACTATATCCAAATACATTATTCTGTGATTGGTCATGTGCCATGTAGGCGCTGCTTGTGGGATCTGCCCCATTCCCTTGAATCGTGGTTATAAAATTGCATATTGAAACATCATAGAAATGTAAGGAATTAAAGAGACTTATATCTTGGTTCTTAATACTAAATGATACTTTGTTCCTAATACTAATGAATTAAGCACAATGGGTTGTACAGAACCTGGCAGGGACATGTAGCTTGATTTTGCCGTGAAATTGATGTTCTTGAACATAGATTCAGATTGTAGTCTACTTGTACTTTGTATTTCTCTTTGGTATTTAATACCACGACAGTGATGATGTGTCCATGTGTTGTTGACACCTGCTATCTGTTTATCTCAAGAGAATTGCTGCTAGTATTCAGGCATCTGTACTGGCCTGTCCTTGGGGTTCTGACTGGGTACGCCCTCAGCTGCAGCCACTGCTTTTCTTAAATTACAATTGCTGCTCACATGGGAAGAGGGGGGAGGGAGCTACGAGAATGAGAAGGAAAGCAGAGGAAGGATGCAGAGGTCATGAGGGAGCAGAAAAGTTGAGTCAGGTGTAGATCAGAAGAAAGGAAATGTGATAGGTAGGGGTTTTAGTTGGGGTGGTAGGGGAGGAAGGGGGGGAGAAGAGAACTGGGATTGTCGTGTAAATCAATCTTGTTTCTAATTCAAATAAAAAAATGATTAAAAAAAACAACTGCTGCTCACATCACTCAATTGGTTAGGATGCTCAATGGTAATTTCCCAAAGGAGAGACATCAGTATTTCTTATTTCTCTTTTACTTTTTGACCTAAACAGGATCCCACTGTGCAGCCCTCTGCGGCTGGGACTCATTATGTAGCATTATGTGGAAGGCATCAGCAAAAATGTCTTGAGGGTATTGACTGACTGATGTGCAGAGGCCGTCACATTTGATGCAGAAAGAACATTCCTCACGATTGCTTTGTTCTAGTCAGATCCTGTGAGGGTCATGGCTCTCCTCCCCTACCCTAAAGTGCCTACCCTAAAGTGGGTGAGTTCATTAAAGTGGAGACTTGGGGAATGGGCTCTGACCTGCAGGTTTGCATTTCTATCCCTGAGTCATGGCTCAAACAGAATGTGTCACCACTTTCCAATTCCAGAGAATTCAAGGAAGAATCATAAGCACTGTTAGACAATACAGCTTAATAAGTACTAAAAAAAAAAAGAACATATTGAAGAACTACAAAATTCAGACCCAATAGCTCAGATTTTCTCCTGAGCTGTTCTTCTGTGCTCTATTTGCAAGTTACTGAAAGGGAGTATAACTCTCACACAGTTTAGTATATCCATTTACTCACAGGAAATCTATGTCATTCTCGAATGCATCCAGTTACTTCCCTTATGTGTACATGCTTAGTGGTAGCTTAAATTCTATTTAATGTGTTTTTGGACTTCCCTCAATTTTTATACCTCTTTGATGGTGACATTTTCTTCTAAACTTATGAAATTATTTATCAGAGTTGCTGCCTCATGTATACGGTTAGGGCAATTTTAGATTATATCCAGTGTGGCTGATGTGGATTTTACATTTGCTTGGTAGTGCCTCGAAATATTCTCCTAATTTTTTTTAAATTTATTTACTTATTTTTATTACATATACAGTGTTCTGTCTGCATATTTGCCTACACACCAGGAGAGGACACCAGATCTCATGATAGATGGTTGTGAGCCACCATGTGGTTGCTGGGAATTGAACTCAGGACCTCTGGAAGAGCAGTCCAGTGATCTTAACCACTGAGCCATCACTCCAGCCCCTATTCTCCTAAAATTAATTCATAAACTACATGATTATATATGTGAATGTTATAATAGCCAGTATGCAGTGTTGTTACATTCCTTTTTACTGTGGACAAAACAAAACAAAACAAAACTCTTTCTTGTAAGGTCAGTCATGAACTCTGCCTTCCTCTACCTCTTCTCTCTTTAATGGAGTGACATTGGACCTGGAGTAAACGTTCCAACTCAGCCTGTTAGAATACAGTCATGTAAGGCCCAAGTACATACAGCTTTGATTCAGTGTCGGTATTTAGCATGATCTACAGGTACAGCATTTAAAATCACATTTCCGCTGGGTGTTGGTGGCACATGCCTTTAATCCCAGCACTTGGGAAGCAGAGGCAGGCAGATCTCTTGACTTCGAGGCCAGCCCAGCCTACAGAGTGAGTTCCAGGACAGGCTCCAAAACAATACAGAGAAACCCTGTCTCAAAAAACAAAAAAAAAAACAAAAAATAAAATCACATTTCCTCGTTATGAATTTTCCTTCTGACACATGTATGCTGGGGTCCCATAGGACGTAAGCACAGCGTCCATAACAAATACCTGTGTCCAGACCTTAAATGTGTTTCATGCGTATTGATTTTGAGAATATTGTGACATTCTGTTCTCACCAAAAACCCATTGTAGAATGTGACTATATTAGAAATCATCTTTTTCAGTAATTGTCTCTGCTCATCTACATCCCTGATTTCTTTAAGTCTCCTTATAGCCAAGAAAGCACTCTGTTTGGGATCACATGATCAAACTGTAATTTTTCACTTCAGGGTCTGCTGACATTCAGGGATGTGACTGTGGACTTCTCCCAGGAGGAGTGGCAATGCCTGGACTCAGCTCAGAGGACTTTGTACATTGATGTGACGTTGGAGAATTATAACAACCTGCTCTGTGTGGGTAAGAACATTTTTCGTGGAGAATTCCTAACTCTGCCTTTCTGTGTCCTGACTTTATAGGTTGTGAACTTTCTGTTAAGCTGTCTTGGAAACAACAGGAGACTAGGGAAAGTTTGGAGGTAGCAAAGAACTTTTTCTTGGTATTTGTTATTTTCTTACCACTTTCCACTTTAGAGGTGTTGGGCACCCTTCACTTTGGTTCCAAGATGCAATCAGAAACTTTGTAACATAAAGTGTTTCTACCCATATCTTCTTTTTCATTTTTTCCCTCTCATTGAAGTAGACTTTTTTCTCATACAGTATATAGATCCTGTTTATACTTTTCCCCTCCCTGTACTCCTCCCAGTTCCTCCCCGGTCCTCCTCCCCTCAATATCCACTCCCTTTCTGCCTCTCATTAGAAAACAACGGGCTTGGAGCCAGGTGTGGTGACATCCACCTTTAGTCCCAGCATTCCGGAGGCAGAAGCAGGCAGATCTCTGTGAGTTTGAGGCCAGTCTGGTCTACAAAGCAAGTGCCAAGGGAACCAGCGCTGTTACTCAGATTAACCGTCTTGGGGAAAATAAGGAAGGAAGGAAGGCTGGAAGGAAGGAAGAGAAAGAGCAGTCTTCTAAGAGATAACAACCAAGCATGACAAAATGAAATACAAGATAAAGTACAAACCATCACTTTGAAGTTAAACAAGGTAAACCAACAGAAGGAAAAGAATCCTAACAACCGGCACGAGCATCACAGAGCCATCCGTTCTCACACTCAGGAAGGAGTCCCATGATAAGACTACAGTACATAAGCAGAGGGCCTGCAGACCCTGTGAATTCACCTGCACTTGGCTCGTCGTTGGTTTAGAGGGCCTTGTTCTTCTGTTGTCTTCCATCGCCTCTGGCCCTTACATTCCTTTCATCTCCTCTTCTGCATGGTTCCCTGAGCTCTGAGGGGAGGGATTTGATGGAGACATCCCATGTAGACTCTGTCTGTACATACTATCTGGCTGTGGGTCTCTACATCTGTTCCATCTGCTGTAGGAGGAAGCTTCTCTGATGATGACCGAATAAGACACTGATCTATGAGTGTAGCAGAGTATCAGTAGGAGTCGCTTTATGGATACTTTTTTTCTTTTTACATTGGTAGTTTTTGGTTTGCCCTAGGTCTCTGGGTGATCTAGTTTCTGGTCCTTGGTTACCAAGGCAGTGTTGGCTATTGGTTCCGTTGAAGACAGGATTTAAATGAGTCCACCAGACCCAAGATAAATGATAAATAGGTATTTATTAGGGAAGCACTCACACAGGTAAGAGTAAATAACCACCAGGGTCTTCCTGCTCTAGAAGATGTAGTCTCTGCCCTTATGATGCTCTCTGCAACCCAAGAGAGCGAGAGCCAGCCCCTCCTCTACACCCCTGCCTCTGAAACCATGCCCAGAAGGTGTGACTACCAACACAAGTTCACCGGCAAGACAAGATGCCACTTGTGGATTGAGCCTTAAGTAAAATCAGACATTTGTTGACTGCTCCCACAATTTGTGTTCCAACATTACCCTGGCTTGTCTTGCAGGCAGGGCAGACTCCAGGTCACAGATTTTGTGGCTGGTCCCACCTAATATCTTAAAGCTCCATGACCATCATTGTATTTTACATTGTTTTAACTGTGAGAAAAACTCGAAATATGCAAACTTGAAATTCTTCCTGAATAAGGGGCTGGAAAGATGGCTCAGCGGTTAAGAGCACTGGCTGCTCTTCCAGAGGTTCTGAGTTTGGTTCCCAGCAACCACAGGGTGGCTCAAAACCATCCATAATGAGATCTGGTGGCCTCTTCTGGCCTGCACAATAAATTCTTCCCAAATATGCTGTAGATCTGACTGGAAACAGCAATTGAAAAATCATTCCTAGATTACTCTACTGTGTGTTCTCTTCATGTACTAAGCCTAGTACTGTATTAAATGTTTGTATTGTTATTTAAAGAAAGACTGCCATGGTTCATCCTCTACCTCACAGTACATGTGGATTATTGTGTGCAAGATAGGCCTGGTCATGTGTGTGCAGCAAATGAGATTGCCCTGGAATGTGGAGAGAAGACAGTAGCAACAGCCTGAGTGGACTAGTGAATGAGCAGGACAACGGTGATGGCATCAAGTGAAAGAGAAAGCAAGAGCTGAGCATCCTTTTGTGATGTTCAATTCCACTTGAGATTCCTTAATCTAGTATGCAGGTCTCAGGATGCATCCTGCCTGTTGTAATTGTTAGAAGACACTGTGCCTTATTGCACCTGAATTACGATAACTGAATACTAGTACAAAATAAAATTTTATTTGACTATGCTGACATTAGATTGGAATAATATTATAAATGTGAAGTCTAACATGAGTCCATGAAGTAGGATTACTCTTTAATTGCCTTCCTTGCATGTGTGTCTTCATATTACATTCTTAATTTTCTCCCCAGTGGAGAACACACAGGCACCCTTCTGGAAAATAATCTCAGGAGTCAGTGTACATAGTAGACCTGAGAACAACCCTATGAGGAAAGTTAAGAACACAGCAGTGTGCGGAGCTCAGACAGGGGAGAATAGAAATAAGCAATAGCTGCCCGTGACAGCTCTGCCTCAAATGATGTAGACTCCAGGCTCCGTAGTCTAGTGCCTTTGATATCTGGCAAAATTGCTTTGCTTCCATTACTTTTGAAGAACCTAACATGCTTTTTAGAACAAATAAAGTAACCCTTCAATGCCTTTTGAGAAATTTTGTTTTGTTTTTCAAGTCAAGGTTTCAATCTGTGCCCTTGATTATCCTGGAACTTCCTCTGTGGTCCAGGCTGCACTCAACTCACCGAGATCCACCTGCCCAAGTGCTGGAATTTAAACGCATACACCACCGCTGCTTCTCACTCCTTTGGTTCTTTTAAGTAAGCCTTTAATCTTTGAAGAAATTGGGTCTTCTGAACTATATTTTTTATTCCATTACATTAGTAAGTCCAAACACTGTAAAGTTAGAATTGGAGTAAACTCTTCTATAATAATTTCACCAAAAAAAAGAAAAATTAAAACTAGAAACATAGATTCAAAGTGTAATCAGTCGTTGAGCTCCCTCCTAAAGCTAATTGCCGATTCCTCAGTTATTCGTTTCCTCTTCTTTGATAGTTGTCATTCTGGTTTTGGAAGAATCCATACAATTATAGTGAAAGGAAAATGTTGAGTACCAGGAACTCTATGAAATGGTTGCTAGTTGATATAAATAAGGAGACAGTCACAGCCCGTTGTGAAATGTTTAATCTTGGAACAAGCCCTATTAATCTGAACTGTACTCATTTTCAGAGAACTATTGCATATGTGATCCTGTCCATCACCATGTGAAGACTGAAAAGGAGTCTCGTCAGTGTAATGAGCTTGGCAAAGTGCTTCATGACCCCTCCACATGTGCACTTTATAGAACAAGTGAAACTACAGAAAACTCCAATAACTACACATGCAGTAATCACAGGGATGCCTCTGTTGACTCATCAAACCCACACAGACATGAAGGCAGGCACACTGGAGAAGAACCTTGCAGAGCTAAAGACTTTGAGAAATCTTTAAATTTGTGTTCCAACATGACTCAAGATCAGAGAGTCTACACTGCAAAGAAAGAGCACAGGCAGGGAGAATGTGATGACTATTTCACCTCTGCATACAGTGTTGTGCAGCAAACAATCTACATTGGAGAGAAACCTCACCAGTGTGAGGAATGTGGGAAATATTTCAGTAATGCTAAAATCCTCTCTGTACACCAGAGAATTCATACTGGAAAGAAACCCTACAAGTGCAACGTTTGTGACAAATCCTTCACCCAGTGCACAAATCTTAAAACACATCAAAGACTTCATACTGGAGAGAGACCTTACGAATGCAGAGAATGTGGAAAGTCATTTCGTCACTTGTCAGCACTTAAAAGCCATCAGAAAATGCACACAGGAGAGAAGCCTTACAAGTGTAAGGAATGTGACAAGTCCTTTTCCCAGTGCTCAAGTCTGAAAACGCATCAAAGACTCCATACTGGGGAGAAACCTTATAAATGCAAAGAATGTGGAAAGTCATTCCGTCAGTCCTCCGCACTCAAAAGCCATCAGAAATTGCACACAGGAGAGAAGCCTTACAAATGTAAGGAATGTAACAGATCCTTTGCACACTATTCTAGTTTCAGGAGACATCAGAAAATCCACGGTGTTGAGGAACATTCTAGTTATGAAGTATGTGACAAGGTCTTTCATCACGGTAGAAACCACTACAGACTCCATAGTGGAGAGGAGCCTTACAAATGCAATGACGCGGATCCTTCACCCACTATGAATGATTTAGATGGCATCATAAAAATCATTCTCTAGAGATATTGTAGGAATGCAAAGATCATTGTAAGTCCTTTCATTAACACCATGTCTCAAAAAGGCATTACAGAACCCATACTGGAGAGAAACCTTAGAAATGGGAGGTTTGTGACAAATCCTTCACCCAGGACTCACATCCTAGAAGACATCACAGAGTTCATACTGGAGAGAAACTTTACAGTTTTAAGGAATGTGGCAGATCTTTTTCGAGGTGTGCATATCTTAGAGCAGATCAGAAAATTCATACTGGAAAGAAACCTTACAAATGCCAAGACTGACACATTCTACATCCATATTGCAAGTCTTAGAAGACATCGGAAAATTCATACTAGAGAGAAAAATACTGTTGTAAATAATGTGCCATAGCATTTATCTGGCATTCTCTGCCTACAAATCCTAACAGAATACATAATAAAAATATAAAGGTAAGAAGCTTGTGAATGCCTTTAATGAAGGTCTAAATCTTAGAAAAACATCACAAGGTTTATATTGAAATAAAATTCTTCAAAAGTAATGGAGAAAATTGTTTTCTTAATGTATATGGTTGTTTTGCCTGCAAGTATTTCTGTGCACTGCATGTTTGCCTGGTACCTGGCAAGGCCAGAAGAGGTCATTAGATTCCCCCGAAGCTTGATTAACAGAAAGTTGTGAGCATTGTATATGCTGGGAATTGAACCCTGGTTCTTTGGAATCACATCCAGTGCTTTTAAACACTAAGCCATGCATACAGCCCTTGGTAAAAGCTGTAATAAGAGCATTTATCTTGTTCCGTATTCAAAAATTCATAATAATGTCAGGTGAGGTGACGCATGCCTTTAATCCCAGCACTTAGAATGAAGAGGCAGGAAGATCTGTGTGAGTCAGAGACCATCCTTGTTTACATAGTTAGTTTCAGGATAGGCAGGACTACATCAACTATCTCAACAACAACAAATCATAATGAGAACAAATTGTAGTAACTTAAGAAATGTGACAGAGCCCTCTAATTTTGCTATTCATCACAAACATCATAGTCCTAAGAAACCATATGAACGTATACTGTATATTAATCCCCACACATTGCTGTTCATTATAAATCCTGCCCCTGAAATGCATTCAATTTTATAAATCCTTTACCTAGCTCTGAAATTGTACACATAAAAAGAATTCATCATGAAAGAAACAATAATATGCTCTAATAAAGTCTCATCTTTTGTTCACCGTCAAAATCTTCAGACAAGAGTCAAACCTTAAAGACAGCAAGAAGGTGAGAAACTATAAGGAGATAGGCTGTGACTGTGACAGTGTGGGTGTGCTCACATACAGCTTACAAAACTCTGCCAAGGCTGTGGTCCTGCGTGGCTTTAATTCCAGCCTTCTGGAGGCAAAGGCAAGCTGAGCTCTGCGAGTCCAAGGCCAGCCTAGTCTCAAACAAAACAACAACAAAAAAGAAATCCCCAAGAGCATATAGAAACTAATTTTGAAGTATTGAGGACAAATGGGAAAGTGTTCACCCAAACTCTAAAATAATACAGCTTTAAGTGCCAGTAAAGCTTCATGGAGTGAGAGGAGCCTTTCGGCACCCTCGCCCAGCCACAATGAAATGGTAATTGACCCAGGCTTACATGGTGGTTTGTTCTCAGGATTTTTTGAAATACGAGTCTTTGCATTGCCCACTACCAACTGCAAGAGTCCTCTTTCGCTCAGGTTGAGAGTAGTACAAACTGATAATTATAAACAGGAATTTTTAGATGGCAGATTAACAACATGATCATTAATAAAACATCAGTAGGTTCTTCCCTTGGCCTGTATTCCCCAAGCCATGGTTTTTGATCATGTTATAGTACAGGGCAATAATTCCCCTCTATGGAGCAAGCCTCAAATCTAATCAAGATAGGTGGCTATGTCCATAAGCAGTTGTTCTCGTATTCTGCCAGTGCGCACATCCTGGCTTGTAGGTTGGTATTGTAGATAGGACACAGGGTCAAAGGGTTGATAAGACCAGTGACATCTTTTCTTTGCAGTCCTTTGAAAGCTTACCAGCAGGGAGAGTTTCCTGGTAAGTCCAAGATTGCGCTCTCTACCTTGCAACCAAAGAGTTGGGTATCTTCAGCAACACCATGTCCTTATGGTGGCCAAACAAGAGCACTGGCAGTGACCTGTTTTGTTTGGGGTGCCTCTGTGGCCTTCCTGTCTAGTAAGTCCTAGGTAGCTGGCTGGTACAGAAAGAGTTCCATTTCACAGCCCTGGTGTCTGGAAGCAGCTTTATTCACCCATGTGGGACACTCTGTGGGGAGCCACAGCCCCAAGATGGCGCCTGGCTGGATGCCAGGGAGACTGAGCTTAGCTGTAAACAAGCCTT